CGGTGTTGCCGTGCTCGTCGATGGGAAACACAAAGATAAAATCGAGCCTCATTGGCTTCTATCAGTCAGTCGGAGCGGGTAGACTCTGTAATGGAGCCGAATCGTGCCCTGCGGGTGTGACCCGCTGACAAGTTTCTCATGTCTTCACGTATCGTGCGACCCACTTGTACATGTGGGTCCACCAGAAGGCCTGAGAGACCGACAAGATGGTCTTCTCGCGACCCAAGTGGCCGCTGGAGGGTGCGTCGTGCGCCTCCACGAGGATGTCAAACTTCAGATCCTCGTCGTTGGGTACGACCACCCGTGGAGGATCAGTGGGCCCCACCCGGTAATAGACGAGGCTACCCTTCAGCTCATACTCATTCCGGTGGAGCCGGGAACGCTGTCGCGACGAAAGCCAGTCGTACTTCGCGTTCGTCCCTACTCCGAGGAACTTGATATTAGACACGACAGCCTCATCGTCCTGATACGCCACGCGTATCCGATCGTACAGCTCCGTTGCCACCCGCGTGAAATCGACAGGGGCGGATCTTCGTACAAGACGGCCCCTTCAGATTTTTCAGAGACTATTGGAGTAAATTACTCTTGAGTTCATTGAAATGCGTGATAACGCTCTTCATGACGACGATCCAGCCAAATTTAATGCGATTTGAGAAAGAGCAGAGATATGTTGTCTCCGAAGGTGAAAAAAAGCTTTAGTACCTGATAAACACGCACAGTGGGCGAGGCGGCGAGGACGATACCGTGACAAAGGACGTCCTGGTGTACCTGGAGCTGACATACCCACTCAATTAAGCGTTACTCAAAAGAGCCATTATCACAAGGATGTCTATGAAGCCATTCTAACCAATATGATTCAATAGCTGCAGTCACGTTTCGGTAAAAGTATGATTCAATTGATGGAATTGTGTGGTAGTATAATCATTAAATACTCTTTCAAGTGTTGAAAGGAAGATGACATTACTCAAACTGCTAAAGAGTACTACTATCATGATTTATCAAACCAATTGGAAACTTTGAGGTCGGAGGCTAAGCGATTCGGACAACTTGAAAAAAAAGATAGCCGATTGACTTACTTGAATAGGACTGAAGATCTAAGCGTCGCAATGGCTGAGTTCGACATACATGCAATCTTCCCAGCACCTTACAGACTTATATGTCTAGTGTGGGCTCTACCTGTGTCACACGCGGGCACTGAGCGGTCTTTTTCAGTGATAAAAAGCGTAAAAACACGTCTAAGAACTACACTTGCTCACGATATGCTTTATGAACTGTTTTCCTTAGCCATTGAGCAAGACCTCATCAATTCCATCGACAAAGAAGAAATTATTGACGCGTTTAGTAGGATGACAGAGCGAAGGTTTACGCTGTGATAATTGAAGCCAAAAATTTCGTTTTTTTTTTCGCCCCCCCAGAATTTAGTGCTGGTTCCGTCCCTGGATATGGGCCAACTCGTAGTCTGGACGCCGAGAGAGGACTTTCGCGAGCGCGTTGAGCTTGCCCGGCTTGTACTCAACCTGGAAGGTGTATTCCGCGAAGAAGGACAGCCACCTCGCTTTCCGTTGGGAGAGGTGAGGCAAATTCGTTGCCATCCTCAAGAATGCGTGGTCTGTGTAGATCACAAAGGGCCGAGAGCCCAGAAGATAACCCGAACCTTGGGCATTCTCCATTGCCAGGAACACCTTGGCGTGGACAGTGTAGCTCCGCTCGACGGCTTTGAGCTGCCTGGACGGGAACAAGATGACTCGTTCATGTCCTGCCGTGTAGGGCTACAGCAATGCACAACAGATGGCATAGTCGGAGACATCGCAGACGACGCTGAATGGCTTCGTCTCGTCCGGCAGGGCCGTGACAGGGGCTTCTTGGAGACTGGCCTTAATGCTGTCAATAGTATCCTGGTGCTCTTGCCTCCAGCGCAAGTCGGCGTCCTTTTGAAGGAGACTCGACAAGGGCTTAGCGAAGCCCGCGTACTCTACGTTGTTCTTGTGAAGGTAGTTGGTCAAGCCCGACCACGTTTGAAGATCCTTCTGGGACCAGGGCGTTGGCCATGAGGTAATGGTCTCGACCTTGGCTGGGTCAGCCCGAACGCCCACGTTTCTTACGATGCAGCCTAAAACCTTGATCTATGGTGACTCGAAGACGCACTTGTCGATGTTAACTTAGCGCTTGTTCGCTTGTATCACGTCCAACCCTCGGCGGAGGTGCCCCAAGTGCACCTTCATATCCGTCTTACCTCCCTCCGTACGTATATGGACGAAGATGTCGTCGAAGTACGTTTGTACGAAGGCGTGCAATTGCCGGAACAGCTGGACCACCAGGCGGTAGAATGTCGCCGGAGCGTTAGACAAGCCCTGTGGCATGACGAGCCACTCCCACAGCATGCCACTTGGAGTGCTCACTTCGGTGAGCAGGATGTCGCTCTCGCTAATCAGTATCTGGTAGCTTCCGTCTACCAAATTTAGCGCACTGTACAGTACGCTTTCGGCCATGTTGTTCAACAACACATCCTTTCGTGAGATTGGTCTGGTCCAGCGCCGCCGCGTTGTTCAGCTTGTTATAAGCGTGTACTAGACGCCACTTTCCGTTCGGCTTTTGAACGCAGAAAGCTGGCGTCGAGTGCGGGAACTTCAACTCCCGCACCATGCCTGCATTCGCATTCGCAGCGAAGAATGCATCGATGACCTCGCACTGTTCGCGGGAAAGAGGTCATTGTCTCGTGACACAGTACTTTGTGCCAGGCACGGGATCGATCTCATGCCGTACGACTCGATCCGGTGAGAGTTGGGTCGGTGGGTGTTTGTTCACCACGTCCGCATACTCCGTCACCAAAGGATACACCGGATCCTTGGGGTTCTTAAGGATCTCAGAACCCAAGCAAGTCTGCCGCAGCTTGCTCAGCTCATCCAGGACGCCCTCGTCCAAGACAGAGGAGGGGTGCAACTCCTCCCGAGTGGCCTCAGGTCTTATGAGCACCATATCGTCAGCCTCCCATCCTTGCGGTTGACCAGGAAAGGCTCAACCGTCATTTCCACGAGGTTTAGAATCTTTGCGCTCTCTGGCAATGGTTCCACGACAAAACCAGATGCCTTGGCGGGTAAACCGGTCTTGTCATCGAAGATGCGATAACACTCATCCATCTGCCGTGTCGGAGGAGCCCGGGCTCTGGACCCCGAGTCGCTTGAATCGACGTCGATCGGAACGAGGTTCCGATCCGACTCTCGGCGGAGACGTCGTCGTCTGCGGCGGCGATCGTGTCGTGGAACTTCGCTACCCACGTCTGGGAATTTCGTTGCACCGACATCCGAGGCACTAGAACCCTCGTATGGTACTATGTTACCCACACAGGAAACGTATCCAACGTCTTCCTCTTCAGTTAAGGTCTGGGCGACCGTGTGTGGAACTCTATTACCCACGTGGCACACGCTATTACCAGCGTTCATGACAGCCGCAGCTGTCTGCGGGACAACGTTACCCGCTTGTGGACCTAAGGTTTTCACTTGGCCGGCGCCGCCACCATCGACGCGTCCTCGGAGTCGTCATTTACGTCGACGACTCCCAATTATTTGCCACATGCTTTGGTACGCTAGCCGCCCTTCCGGGCGCACCGGGCCCTGTCAGAGGTGGTAGCATGACCACCCCAATGCTCTGGCGGACATCGCAGGGCATCTGGCACCGATTGATATGCCTCGCCAGTTGATACATGAGTCGTGTTTTTCGAGCCAGGGCATGCCCAGGATCAAATCGTAGGGATCCATGTCGAGAACAGGAAACTGTTCGAGGCTGTCAAAGTCTTCAAATTTGACGGCCAGACCCACTTGGGCGTTGGTGACAGTGAAGTCCTTCACGTCGGCCAGTCGCCCTGACACCGTCCCGCTACCCTTGCTTTATCTCAAAGCATCGGACAGCTTGTTGCTATTATTATTACGGTCGATGGACACGAGATGGACGTACACCACAAGGCAACGTTCCGGGAGGTCGTACTCACGACTTCCGGTGGTCCATTGATGCTACGAAACTTGACATGTTACGTCGACGAGGATAATGCGTCGACAGAGTTGACTGTCGGCCGCCCAATCATGAAATTGTTGGGGTACTCGATGGACAAACTGTTGAAAGAAGCGCGCGATACACGTCCAGAGTGGGAAGTTGGCGAGGTGGAGTCCGAAGTCTGTGAAGACGATGTCACTCCGACTACTCTGCACCGTATGTATCGTATGCGAGTAGTTACCGACAGCGAGGAAAAGTGACGGAAGAGCAAACAGATGACATTGGTCTTCGTGAGACGAGGACCGCACTACCTACACTACGCCCGACGGCCACATCTGAGGTCATAATGTACTTGGAGAAGAAAGTCGAGGTGGCCACAAAGATGGGATTAACACCGGAGGGTCGAATAAGGCTATGGGCGATTTTGCACATGATAATGTATTTTTCGAGTGGAATTCGGTAATGACCCGCCGGTGCGAGCTGAGACGATGAAGGTCCGGCTGAAGTCCGACGCAACCCCAGTGAGGGTGCAGCCACGTCACTACTTCCCTAATGATCGCGCGTTTTTGGACCGTCACACTGGAGATCTGATCAAGCACGGACTGGTGTTTAAGAAACATAAAAGCAGGTGGCCATCATCTCGAAGGATCGTTCGGAAACGAGAGCAGGACTCTCGCCAGTTTCGAAGACGTTCGTTGAGTCATGTTGAAGATGGTGTCGCTGGCCCACCCGTAACCAACGGCGGAGTTGTGACGTGAGTCAGGATTTTTGGGGGTGCTGTTGTGACGCTGCTGGAGCCAGACGAAGTCTCGCTACCACTGCCGGATCAGCATCATCACTCGTTGGCGTTTCTGAGTGGTCGATGCGCTGGAGCGTCAGCACTTTGGCCTACGATTGAGAAAGAAGCCTTTGTCATCGTAGGAGCTACACGTCGTCTTGACTATCTGCTGCTTAGACCAAAAGGATTCGACTGTTCACAGAGCATTTTGGGTACATATTCAATCCGTACATTACTGATGGAGCCATGGCGAAGTTTTAAGCTGACAAGTTGCAGCGCTGGGTGCTTTCTCTACTTGCGTTTTGGTACATGATCGAGCATGTACCTAGTGACGTTAGCGTGTGGGGCAATCTGTTAAGCAATTGGGGCGCTGATAAGGAGCGTATCGAGGACGGCGCAGTTGCGCGAGTAGCCCGTCTAGCGGTTGGCAACGCGTGTCACCACTTGAAGAGCCTGGGTTTTCTGGCCCACTGAGGCCGAGCAACGGACACTGCAGCGGGCAGCGCGTGATGCTGGCGACGCCCTACAAGGTGTTGTGTGGAGTGATGAACGTGGCCTTATGCTGATGCCGTCCGGTCAAGTGTGGATCCCGCTCGACGCGGGCGACCTGCAACAGCGTCTATGCGTGATAGCACACGCAGGTGCTAGCGGCCACAGAGGTGCCCATTCAACCGCGCAAGCTCTCGAGACTGTGCTTTTCTGGACATTTATGGGACGTTTCCACGTTTACGAGGGGGTGTCTTCACTGTATGTCAGCAGCAAGTGGCCATATTCCTCGGCCGTTTGGAAAGACGCTGAAGGCTACGAAGCCTAACGAGCTCATTTACTTCGACTATCAGACGATGGTTGAAGGCACCGATGGTAACTAATATGTCCTGGTTCTGAAGGATGGAATGCGCGGATTCGTGGTGTTGATCGCCTGCCCTTAAGCGACGTCGGACGTTTTGGACCAAGGCCTGATGGATTGGTTCCAGACGTTCGGCGTCGGGATTGCTTTTACCTCAAGAGTCCAATTCTTAGGATTGAAATCCTCATCCACACAATGGATGGTGAAAGCGATGTAGCTGCGTCCATTTCGAGCGGTCCAAATATCGGCAGTCATCGACAAGTACTCGCAGGATTTTGCAATTCCACGCTTCACAAACTCTCTCAACTCAGAAGCAAAAGTGACAATTGCCCGGCGAAGCTGGAAACGCTTGGGTTTCGGTACATTTACGTGGCCAAGCTCTTCAGTAATGTATCTGACAAACTGGAGAAAACTATCGTCTTCAATGATGATAATAGGGCGGAAATGCAACCCATCGTGCCAGCTGCTTGTTTACGTGTTCTTGTTCTTCGTCGGTGATATCACGTATTAATAGTCCTGTAGCAGCTTGTTCGAAGTCATCATTGCGATTACGTCCACCCGCACTGCTGCCCTGTTTTAATTGCGCAGCGTGAAATTTTGAATGTGCGGGAGAACTTGGTGAGCTGAGGTTTTGAAATCGATCCAAATGCTGCATCTTAGACAAAACGCATATTCCGCATGTCGATTTTTTTTTAATTTGGAGCCAAATGCAAGAATTCCTGTTTGGCTGAGAGCTTGACGAACTGCCATAGATCTGGCCTGGGTTGGCGCTTCGTAACAAAAAGATACGGTGGAGACAAAATAATTGGGATGATCTGTTTGGAGCAGGGAAGTCCGATCTTGACGATGGCGACACCCGCTACCATGTCGTGGAGTTGATGCCACAGTTGATCGACGTTTCTTCGTGCTCGAATGACTGGTTCTCCGTTGCTCGCGCTGACCCGTTAAGGGTGCCTGTGGCGAGAGACTATAATGCCGTGGCTGCTTCCGCTGACGATACGATAGCTGTCTGGTCCTTGAGCTGTTAGGCTGGTGATTGGCTGATGTTTGGGCAGGTGTCGATGGCGTCATCTGGCCAGATCTGCTAGGGGCACGACCACCACTAGCATGCGGCTCCGACACAGCGTTTAATCGCTCGTGGATGACATCAGGAGTTTGAGCGTGATGGCCACGCTTGCCAGGGGCATGGGAAGACATTGGTGTGTGAAGCGAATTGGAGACTGACGGACTACATAAATCACAAGATTTTTCCTCAGGGTTTTGTATGGTACAACTTCAAGCGCTCTGGACAAAGTTTTGCTTAGTAAACAGAGTTTACAGTTTATTTGCAAACTTTTCTCTGAGTTAAGGTTTTTAAAGTTTAGCGAGTTTAGACCCCTAAACGCTAACAGCTCTACTGACAAGTTGGTCTACAGAAGCAAACCGTTCTATCCTTGTCCCGATGAGCTTCCATCGTTTTGTTCAAATAAAGTTATGGACCCTGATGTAATGTCTTAGTATCACATCATTGTGCCTACGTTTAGGCTGCAAAATTGTTATCTGTTCGAATCTCCCGCCCATTGCACTCACTTCACAAGATCAATAGCAGGACAGAGGAAGCAAAGAAGAGACGTCGCTAGCGCCTGTGGTGGCAAATGAAGAGCCCCCACTGCCAAATGTGTGTATTTATGGACAAGGAGGGTGGAGGGGGGGGGTGGCGCATGCACAGGTGAGCCGGCAGGGCATCGGGGTCTTTGCTGCGTCGATTCTAACAATTTCTATTGGCAGCGGAAGGTGTGTGAGATAGATTAATAAAAAAAGAGAAGGCCTGGCGAATAGCAGGATTAGCGCTTAGACGTCGTCCCATTATGAAGTCGTTGCCCAATGCGAGAGTGAAGGTGCGGAGGACCTGCCAGTCTTGTGATTTAGCGTCGTGTGGGAGCGTGAGACCGCCTTGCGCATAACGCCCTGCTGCGCTGGGAAGCAAGTGGAAGCATATATAGAAGCTGGACGTCCCTGCGGCATTCGTGCATATGTGTGTTGGCATTTGTCGGCGTCGAAATCCGACGCCCAGAAGTAAGCCTCAAGAACTAGCTAAAACGGCGGAGCAAGAACGTCAGCAGCTACGTGGAACAAGCACACTCGCAGTCTAAACGTATTTTTGTCTGTTACGCACTCCGTAGCAGACCAACATCACCCGACTACTCTCAAGGACAATAGCCCTGCGCAAACCTTATGGCCCGAATAAGAACGAGGCGTAGCGCTTCCCAAAATGCTTTTGGAAGTGCATTATTTTCCGCACGGAGGTACTACATTATAGTACTACTTTAGTATTACGGCAAGGCGAGCCTTGCAGCTAGTAACGTTTCTATTCACGACGTGCATTAAAGCAAACACCCACATGAAACCACTCCTGGTGGCCTGCAAACGATGTGCCGCTATAGTAAAAAAAACACATAAGATCTTAGAAGTATCAAGTTGATCAAAAGTACATAAAAACATGATGATGGTACGGTGAAGCCCCAATTGTTTTTTTCTAGGTGATGTGCTTCTATTCGATGGTTACAAACTGGCAGAACGCGGTTGTGCACTCACGAATTGTAGCCGAACACGAGCGCACTACTCAAGGTCTGTACCACGCTCCGGACCGTTTACGGAGTTTATCGTATTCTGCGCCTGATAAGCCGTGCTTATGAATGTTGGACGGGTTGACGTTAGCTTTATCTAGTTGCTTAAAAAATTCTTCAGTGATGTCCCAAGAGAATCAGCCTTGTTCGTATGGGCTAGTTTCGCGAGCTGAGCAAGTTTCTCCGCATCTGGGAGGAACTTTATTTCATCGTCCTCCTCGCCAGTGCGCTCCACATTACTGTCGTAGCGCAACGATCTCTTGCCGGTTCTTGCGCCTTCGTTTGTACCTCGCGATGTCAAGACATCCGACGCAGGGTAGGCGGCCCCAGCTGCTCCGCTACCGCCTGCAAGAAGGGAGACGGCAACGATGATGAAGGACAGACGCATTCGGGATTTCTGGTTGTTATTTCGTCGCGAGCCAAGACTATTGCGATGCAAGGCAAATTGTGGAATGAGATTGAAGAATGACGCCTGACTTGTTCGTGCAGTCTTACAACCCTAGATGTGTTCGCTATCATGCACGCTACGGTAAATCATACCCAGTTGAAGCAAAGCACAAGAAGAGATTCCCCACTAAGGAATTTAAATGTGCCCGTAATTACCAGCAGATCCAATGATATATATTGCTGCTACGTAATACTAAAACGTTTTCTTGTAGCCATGCTGTTGCATGTTGTTTTGCATGCCGTAAAAGGCTTTGACAGCGATAAGAAGTGGCTAACGACGCTAATTGCCACTACGAAACGTATAACAATCCAGGCTGAATTAAACTTTGATAAGAAGCCAGGACTTAAATGCATACGTGTGGTTTTTTTTATTTTTTTTTTTCAATTTGATACACTGGTTTATCGTTGTTGCAAATTCATTCGATAAATCACTCTGTTTTATGTAATCAAATCTTCGAGCCAGCAATGCTGTGCTGGCCCAGCATAATTAACCCGGGGACATTTGAAATATGCAGCTTAAAAATTTAATTTTTAAGCTATCTATATCGTTAATAGTATACTTTCCAACACATCATCATACTGTGCGCGCACTGTACGAATGTACTACACGTACACACTACAACACGTCATGATTGTACTTCGTTTAGACTGCGAGTGTGCTCGTTCCACGTAGCTGCTGGCGTTTCTTTCTCCGCCGTTTTAGCTGTTAGTTCTTGAGGCACGCCAGATTACGAAGCTGACAAATGTCAACACACATATACACGAATGCCGCAGGGACGTCCAGCTTCTATATATGCTTCCACGTGCTTCCCAGCCCCAGGAAGACGCTATGTGCAAGGAGGTCTCACGCTCCCATACGACGCCAAATCACAAGTCTGGCAGGTCCTCCGCGCCTTCACTCTCGCATGGGCAACGACTTCATAATGGGACGGCGTCTAAGCGCTAATACTGCTATTCGCCAGGCCTTCTCTTTTTTTATTAAGCTATCTCGTGCATTCCAGAGCGTACCAACACACCTTCCGATGCCAATAGAAATTGTTAGAATCGACGCAGCAAAGACCCCGATGCCCTGCCGGCTCACCTGTGCATGCGCCACCCCCCCCCCTCCACCCTCCTTGTCCATAAATACACACATTTGGCAGTGGGGGCTCTTCATTTGCCACCACAGGCGCTAGCGACGTCTCTTCTCTGCTTCCTCTGTCCTGCTATTGATCTTGTGAAGTGAGTGCAATGGGCGGGAGACTCGAACAGATAGCAATTTTGCAGCCTAAACGGGTAGGCACAATGATGTGATACTAAAACATTACATCAGGGTCCATAACTTTATTTGAACGAAACGATGGAAGCTCATCGGGACAAGGATAGAACGGTTTGCTTCTGTAGAGTATGTGTGCCAACTTGTCAGTAGAGCTGTTAGGGTTTAGGGGTCTAAACTCGCTAAACTTGAACCCCTCCAACCCGGAGCGATTTTTGTTTTTTCTAAATTGCATAAGCAACTTACCATGATTTGATGTTTGTATATAAAGGGTTGGGCCACTGGCGGGAAACGGGGTAAAGTCAGTCGTGAATGGGTATAGACCAGACTAAACTGTGCATAAGGTGTATATTGGGAGCTGAATTGACCTGAACAGTCTGCATAATGCAGCATTACAGGACTGGTAATAGACAGTCGCTGTACAGATACGAGCCATCCGCATCGGTCTGTGCATTTGGTAGAGTTTTCATTTTTAGAAATTTTGATGTGAAAACCTCCCATCAAAGTGTCATAGTGTCCGATGGGGGGTCACCCACAGAAAGTAACGCCATCAGATGATGCGGTGCTGGCAGCTCGAGGTACGTATACTCAAATCAAGTGAAAAGATCAGCTGACAAAAGAGTCAGATGATTAGGCACAGTGTCAGATGAGCAAGCAGGACCTTGTGAGGGACGTTCGCGCAAGCAATTATCCTGATTTCTTAGACTGCATATATTCTGTTCAAAGCTTTTTATTTAAGTTACACGAAGCACAACAATGCAGTTTACCAGATAATTGTCCGTTCTACGTCGCTTTCCTCTACTAGCCGGATTCAGTGGTGTGAGAGGCGTGACAGGCGTTCCAGGCGTTGACGGAGCTCCAGTCGACGTGTCTGCAGCTCGACGCACTCTGATATTTCTACCAGTGTCGACCGGAACCAACTTGCCGTTCATCCACTCTCGGTGTTAGATATCCCAGTATGTCATAGCTACTCCGCGTATCTGTCGGCGCGGCTTCATGCACAGGAACATTGGCCCCGTGCTGCTGCATTCTTGACAAAAGAACGATGTTGTTGTCGCGCGTTTGTCCGCAACACGGAGAAGCGAGCAGACTTTGCACGCGCGCTGTCGGCGCTTCGGCTGCGTCGTCGTATTGCGCCACTCATCAAGCTGGCGGACAGCGTGAGTAGTTTGCAGACCTCCAGATCCTGGAACGGAAGCGCCTTGTGAGGGTTCGTGTGTACCAAACGTGTTGCCTTCATACATGTCGGACGCGTGCAGCTGTGACAGCTGCAAATGCAGCTTCTATATGTACATCACATGCGTCAATGGGCGAGACGACTTCTGCTTATAGTAGGCTTTGTGGACTATGTAGCCATTCACGATTGCTAAGTCAATTAATCCCAGCACCAGCGACTTGTAGTATTTTTCTAACCGCACGGCCCGCTGAATAGAGTACCGCTGCAAACGTAGCAGGTCGTGGACATCCACGCCCCCCCATGAAGGCGTGGTAGTCCTTCACGACGCGTGGGCAAGGAACTTCGACTTTATCTGCGAATTCTTGGCGAGCAACACGATCCATCTCAAGTCTCCCTCCAGTGCACAGGAAGTGAACCGGCCGCGCGTCCCACCAGCTAACAGCAGTCATGTTTGGCACTAACTTTGATCTTGAAACTTTGAAAGATCCGCGAGCAATAGTAGCAGGTCTAGACTTTTTTTTTCAACGACTCCTTTGCAATAGCCCAATCGAATCGTCATAATAGTCCCAACACAGTAGAATCCCATGAGCAGCAATTGAATTGCCAATGCCACCGACGTATAGAACCGATCCACTACAACAAGTCTCATCCCATTCATCCGAGAAATCTGGCCCAAACACAGCGAGAAGATTGCGGACTACTGCAGCAGGCCCTGACTTCATATCTATCTTGTGTGCGTCACTGGAGTGCTGTTTCTTACCACAGTAAACCTCGAACCTGCATAAATGCAGCATACACATAGCAAAATATCCAGCTTTAGTCTGCATTATTCAGCATAAGAAAAACTTAGAGCCAAAAAAAATACCTGATGCAGTAGGCGGTCACCGCACTGCACAACATAAAGAGCTTCGTGCCCCACTTGTGGGGTTGGCTTTCATGTAGACACGCATCTTGTTGAACGACGAGCGGCTAGGAAGCACCGCTTTATCAAAAGCCAAGTGTGCTGGAGCCACATACCCTCGCTCAAATGTCCTTTGTAGAACTTCCACAACTTTGCGAATCTTCCATGCTCTATCTGTGACCGCCCTTGTATCAGAGTTTGGATTGAAATGTAGGTTTCGAGAAATCTCCATAAATCTATCGCGACGCAGCACGGACCCGAACGCGCCACGTGGAATACCGCCTTCATCCGTAGTTTTCCAATGGTTTGCAAGTTTTTCGCGGTTGGGGGCAATCGTGCGTGCAATTAGGAGGCCGATAAAGCGACAAAGCTCGTGAGGTTGTATCGGTTTCGCGCCCTCTAGCTCTGTCTGGATGTCTCGCTTGGTCTTCTTTGGTAGTTGAGGATTGAGCCGGCACTTGCTACGGTACCGTTTGTACCGTTCAACGACACGAAAGGGTGCCATTTCACGCCCATACTCGTTTGAGCACACCGCAATGTGCTGCCGCAGCACTACTGGTAGAAAGAAAAAGAAAAGCGCAAGCGGAGAGTCAGCATTGCGCAGTGCATCAGCTGTGGGGCCCGATAACCCTTGCCGTAGCCCAGGGTACCTTCGTGTGTTGTCCACAGGCTCGTACGGCGTGTTCATGTAGTCAAACGTATCGGGTTCCTCCACATCTTCCCAACCAGTCGCAGCCATTTCACGTAGAACACCGTTCTTGAGATTATCAGCTAACACTGCGTCCTCTCCTCCAAAACTATCCAGGAATCGCTCCGCGAACAGAACTTCAGCGGCAATCTCAGTCTCAGAAGCTTCCAATTCGTCTTCATCAGGTGGTATGTACGTATCAGCGCATTCTTCATCATCGCCACTGTCTTCATCCATAACCAAATCGTCTTTTGCAGCATCACCAGATTCCATGGCAGCATACTCGGCAGCGTCGTCTCCATCACACACCGTATTGAGCGAGTCGTCTTTGCGATGAACAACTTCACTGCTCACTCCTCCATCTTCATCTCCATCGTCAACTCCATCTCCAACACTACCATCTATAAAGCAACGAGCCATACACAAAGCAGTGAAATGCACCACAAGATGCAGTACTATATGCAGCACAAGATGCAGCATAATATAAAACGTACCAGGCTGGCAATCGCTTCCTTCCTCGACCGATTCCACCGACACATCGTCCACAGTCTCCCCGGCTTCAAACTCGGAGTCGTCGCCGAAGTTGTCCGGACTACCAACGCTGACATGGGGTGACGAAGCAATCAGTGCCGTGTGTGGCGGAGGTGTAGCCGCCATAAGACTCTCAGTATCAGCCAATGAGCGCCTCGTAGGCCGCGAAGACCGTCGCCCAGCTCCAGGACTAGACGGTGGGGTTGTTGGGACACTTGCAGGGGCATTAGGAGGTGCACTTCGAGGCGGTGAAAGCGTTTGGGATGGCTGCGAAGGAATTGGCACGCTCTCAGCTTCGTTGTGACCACTTGTCCCTTCAAATAGGTGGCCGTAGGTTTCGCGAACGACTTGAGCAGCGCGCTCTAGCTCAGCATCACCACGGGTAGGTAGACTGGATGTTCGCGCTCGAGTACGTAGCTCTGTGTACGCAAACATGTAACGTTAGTTACCAATTGATAATAACATCACTAAAGTACCTTACCGTTCGCATAATACTCCAACACTGCTTTTTCTCCCAGGAAAACGTCGACTCCTTCGACTCCGTCGGGGTTGCATCCGGGACGGACGTAGCGATATCTGTCGTCAAGGCCACGGCTTGACGGACGCTTGTTAGTCCAGCCTTGGGCTCTTAGCTCACGCCACACCGACCGCCAGGAAAGGTCACTCGACGTCACGAACTTGTTTGTGTCGGGCTCGCACCATCTTGGGTATCCACTTGTGTCCTAGGCGCGCAAAATCTCGAATGAAAAAAATATCCCCCCGTCGGCGAGTGGCTGTCAGCCGTTACCTGTCAAATTTGCTGATGCGCATCAAAATCGTTTGTCTCAATTTTTTAAAATATGAGCGACTTTCTCTTGCCAGAAGACTGATCGGGTTTTGGTTATGTAGCAGAAAAAGGATTATTTTGCCAAGAGCGCTTATCTTAAAGTTTGTATACCCGCTGGCGAGTAAAAATACGCTCAATACAAATTTCATGTCTAAATTGCTCTTATGTAGCATAATGCAGTTTATGAAATAAAACTGCATTATGCAGCACGTCGGGTTGGAGGGGTTAAAAACCTTAACTCAGAGAAAAGTTTGCAAATAAACTGTAAACTCTGTCTACTAAGCAAAACTTTGTCCAGAGCGATTGAAGTTGTACCATACAAAACCCTGAGGAAAAATCTTGTGATTTATGCAAACTGCACTGTAGCCCTGTGGCTAGCCAAGTTGGCTCGGCAACTTGGCTCGACACGTCCAGCCACAGGGCTACACAAAGTTGGTATTTTACATGCCTTTCACTTTATTTACGTGGAAACCCTTGTAAAAATGTAAAAAAAGGATCAAAAACGTATAATTAATACGATATCTCAGCTCGACTGCCGTGTGGCGGCAACGACTATGGCGGCGTCCGAGCAGACTCCAGACTTGGAACCTGCTGGCGAAGACGCTCTATGTGGGGACATCTCACTTATCATTCCGTGTTGACTCTGTAGCGAGGCTGGTTGTGCTAACCGATTCGATTCAGTCGCTGCCGCTGCGCAGCCGCCTCTTTTAAGGCCCCCGATCTCTCGGACGCCGACCAAGCCGAGCTCTTGTCCTGGGGCCGCTCCCTCGTGCCCGACCTGGTGCGTCAGCCCGACGTGGAGTGATCAATGATCCACGAACGCAAGGGGTGCAGTTGTGCGAAGACCGCCAGAGGGGCGGCCTCACGTACTCCATCCGCGCTGTAGCTACCGTACGCGCCTCTCTAGACGACGTGATGGACATTTTCCTGGCTGAGATCACGGTGGACTACCGTTCTCTCATGCAGCTGCAGCTTCGCGAGTTCTTTGCGGACGCGGCGGTGCTTTTCCACAAGGGGCAGAGCGAGTCGGAGTCGCTCAGTATTAAGTGGACGGCTGCGAGGACCAAGAAGAGTGTGGCTAGTTTGGGTGGACAGGTAGGCGTCGACTTGTGTCTCTTGGAGTATATGGGTGTCACCTCGTCCAAATTGGTGGACGGACCCAAGCAGTACAACGCGCTCAATGACTCATCGTCCTCCAATACCAGCAAGAACTCGCCTGTAGGCGTGTGGCTGTACGAATACATCGATCAGGCCGAGTGTCCGTCGCTCTACGACTCGAGCAAACTCGAGCGCGCGTCGGTGTCCAATTGCGGCTTCCTGTTCCGTCCTCACGTGGACGAAGGCGTCGTAGAAAACACTTTTGTCTGCAGTATCCGCCAGCCACCTGGAGCTAGGACTAAACGTCGTTAGAATCGTGCATTGCTAGCGCATTGGGCCCAATCTGTCGGCGGGATGGAAAAGGCTATTAGTCGTCGACGGATCTCCAAGGAGCTCACGAGACGTCGTGTGCCCACATGGGTGAAGGACAAGGACCGCGCGCGCTGTCATTTGTGCCTCAAGACCTTCACTAACACACGACGTAAACATCATTGCCGCGCGTGTGTGGAGATTATCTGTCGGGCGTGTTCAGTGTACAAAAGTGTGGATTTGCAGTCGGTGGGGCTCACTACACTGCGTGTCTGCAAAGCCTGTATGGATGGCAGGTCGTCTGCAGTTGATCGAGACGAGGCGAACCTCAAGGCTGCTGCTGCGGTGATGCAGCAGCAAATGGAGCTACTGCTGACACAATTAACTTGCCTGAAGGTGTGGATAATAGTGTACTCAGAGATGCAGTGAAAGAGTACGCGCTAGCTGTTCCAGGTGCTCAAGTGTCGACTGTTCCAGATCTTGTGGGCATTGACTGGTTGCAGCAACTGGCAGCTAGAGATGACGAGAGCAAGACGATGGTCAATGCACTAATGGATCGACTACGTCTGGATTCCCGGCAGAAGGATGTGGGAGGGAGCATCGGGGAGCAAGTGGACATCTACGATACATTGTGCGACTTGGCAGCTCAGACATTGGCGTGCAAATACGCTGTTGTGAGCCTGGTGGATGAGAACCGTCAGTGGTTCAAGAGTGCTGTGAACGTGAAGGAGTCAGAAGTGCCTCGGGACTTCGGCTTCTGCGAATACTCGTGTGCGAGACCAACGACCTCTTGTGGTTACGGACACATTGCGAGACCCACGCTTCAAGACGGCTACCAAACACATTGACAATGGCTGTATTGAGGATACACCGCCACGATAACTGGCAACTTACACACGATCTACAACTTTGGTTTTCTGCATTCAGTTGTCAACTACGAGCGACGCTAGGCTTGTCTTTCGGGACCGAATTCCGGTCAGCCTCTTCTCTTGGGGAAAGTTTGTGCCATTGCTCTGGGGGTAAGGCTGTCGGCTTGGCGCTGGAATTGGATCTGCATAAGATCCGATCCTTGTCGTTGTAAATGGCGTGGCGGTATATTCGTTTTCATTCCTGGCATTTTCATCCACCCCGGTTCTTTCAGTACTGGGGTCAGCATTTACGATGCTACTAGAAGAAGTGGAGATTCTTGGTGTATTCAAAACACTTTCCCACATTTCAACTGTGGCTTCGTCTCCGTACTCTCCAATCTCCTCCCAGTCGGAAGCTCAAGATACTCGTCTAGCTGCCTGTTGTTAAGAGCAACTGCATCGAGTTCACCAGCCAAATTTTCGATGGTGTTATCATGAGAAAGAGCCGTTTGTTGTCGAATGTCATCATTTGCGAGTGCATTAGCGGGCGGAGCTGGCGAAGTAGTTCGAGTTAACGCAGAGGTATGACGCAGTGGGGTTGTGACGGGCCACTGACTAACGCTGCCACCAGAATTAACTTCAACTTCGCGTATACCAGGAAATAAAACGCGTACCAATGATGGGGACTGATTTTGGACTGGATGATGTGGAGGAGGAGATTCATTACCACCTTGGCGTTCACGAGCAGGCGTTCGCGTGGCAGCAGGTGTTGAGGGAGCAGTTCGATTTACGGCAGGTGTCGGCGGAGCAGTTCGATTCAATGCTAGTGCCGGGTTAGCCGGTGTCGCCTGAGCAGAGTTTAGCGGCGTGGCAATGCGCTGTCGTTCTCGAGGGTCAACCGTTTGAAGCGGTTTCTTAGAGTTTGTGAGCTTTGCTTTCTCGCAGCGGTTTTTTTCACGAACGTATTGACGCATTATCTGGTGCTTCATTGTTTTTTCAACTGCCATTCGATTTCGCTTCGGGGTCTGGATCAGCGCCAGCTCACTGAATAAACGCTCACATGTTGCCGTGTTAACGGCAATGGACAATATTGTGAGAGCAAGCAGAGGAAGTTTGCAGCTCTTTTTCGTACTTTTCTCGTACTCCCAAAACGTCGACACATCATCATTGGTGAAGTCAGTAGAATGTGAAGAGGTATAAGCTCCCTGAATCCAAGCGAACATTTCACCGCGTAGCCCACTGTCATCGTCATTTACAAAGCGACGAAAGTAATATTGGGCAATTTGACACACATCGTCCTTTTCAGTAATCACAGTTGGTGGTAGACTTCGGGCTTCTACGACATACTCAGGATGAAGTAAGTACCCTAATATAAAGAGGGGTTGCTCACAGGCATTCCAACGAGCTTCCACTAAATCTGTGAGAGAGTCACCCAACTCTGTCGACGCAAACCCACGATAGATATCCATAAAAGAGATAACCACATCGGCTACGGTATTTTCGTCCCTTTGGAGACGAAATGAAGCAGTACACAGTGGTCTTACAATTTTCTCTGCAGTCTCCAACTTTGTCCAGAACTCAGCATCCCCTAAAACTCGAATTTTGTCCGTGAGATCCGGGCTGCTCCGATATGTGAAGGCCATATCTTCTAAGGCTCCGCGTACACGAAGTAGCGAAGCAAAGCAAGCCTGCATAGAGTTCCACCTAGTTTCGCACAGCGTGAAAACAGCAAAACTATCGCTATAGCGCTTGCTCATTGATTTAGCAGCCCGAACCAGCCACTTAGCAGTAGAAGTGTTCAGAAAACTCGCAACCCCTGCGGCTTGTTCGGAAACCTTTTTGAACGCCGATTTCAAAACAGCGTTCACCAGGTTGTTGATATCGTGTGCGAAGCAAGGTATAAAGGCAATATTTGGGAACCGAAGTGCCAATATACGGCGTGCACGGCTACATTGGCCGGCACTGTCAGTCACAACTGCACCTACTTTCCACTCTGATGCCAAAAGCTCGAAAATCACGCCTTCCATCTGCTCGGCAATTGCAAGACCGTCATGCAGATCACCAGTAGCTTTGACATCGTAAGTCAAAATCCGTCCAAACAATGCAATAACACATCCCAGTACATGCAGCTTTGCAATAGTTTCCCACACATCCGACAAAAAGTTTACCCTCCCGCCACTTCGGTTCTGAATTGCCCGAACACTGTCACGTTGCTCCATCGAGTGCAACTCAGCGTTTTCATTTAATACTCGACCGCTCAATACATGACGATGTGGAATGGCCCCAACCCCTCCAGAACGAGCATTCAAAAAGACCAACAAGCGTCTAAACGACATTAACCCCACAAACGAGTCAGGAAGCAAGGCTTCAGCTTAAAATTCCAGCAACAAACTCCAGAATATCATTTTCTCAGCTGCACTAAATTCCGGAGTGACGTGCATTGTTTCTTGGCACCATCGTGCTGACCCACGTTAGAATCACCCTCGCTCAGAAACGCGTTCGCGGTAGCCCCCGTGTAGTACAAGCAGCCCGACAAGTGCTTTTGCCAGGCTTCTGTGCGTCCACAGACATGAGTCGGGAACGGTATCATCGATCGGTCTTTGACATAAGCTGCGTAGCAGTATTTACACACCGTCCACCACATGGTCTTGTTGCACCGCTCATTTAAACGGTAGAAGTTTGTGCTGAGGGTGCTAGGAGGGCGTCCACGTTTGGCTGGGCCCGATGCATCCTGCAGTCCAGGAAGTAGATCCATGAGAGCGTTGTAGCCTTCTCTACAGGTTCAGCAGCGACGATATATTGCAAACGTGCGAGCTTAAGCTTCAACAAAATCCTTTTACGTCAACAATGTAAAAATGCTGTGTAAAAATGTTTTTATTGTTGTATCAAATCCTTTTTACGTAAAAATGTAAAAATGTGAAAACAAAAATGCCAACACTGGCTACAGTGCAGTTTGTTGTCCGTTCGTTGTTTAGTACATTAGCTACGGTGAGCGCGCGTTTATGTGAAGCAACGTAAATCGTCGTATTTAAGATATTGCTGTGTTTTTTTATGCAAAGTTTACCTATTAATAGGCTTGCGTTTTACCTCGACAATAATAAAGCATGAGTCAAAGGTCGATAAAGTTTCCAAGATCGCTCGCCCTACCGCCTCACTACACAATGTCTCCCTCCGATCGGCAGTATTAAGTGGAACCTCCTCGCCTAAGCTCACGTCGCTCGTCAATATTCGGATGGCAGCTTTTTTCTTAGAGCGTCTTCGCGCTGTACTAGAGATGGTGAATAGCGGCGATCTCCACTTCTATCTCTAGCTACCTTTTATCCGACTGCATGCTCCAGTCATGTTATTATAACCAATTAGATGCTTTATCATCGACCATTATCGCGATGCCTTAATTTGAGCATGTGGCCGACCATACAGCACGACACCTATTTCCGAACTCCGACATCTACGAGCTTTTAGAAATATTTGTGAGTTTTTACTTTGTCGAATTGAAATAGGCCAATCCTGCTACCACGCGATGGATCGATCCTAGGACGACTAACAACATTGCAAAATATTGGTAAACAAGTTCACTCTACTCGCTTACACGGAAGCAGAGGTTTCTTCTTGCAGCAGTTTGCTCTACTATCGTGACCCAATCACCTTTCGTTCCGTTTATAGTTTCTATCTCTTCTTATTAATAGTAAGAAAGTTCTTACTAAAACAAGGATAATCGGATTTAAGATGCCTACCTGACCACGTCCATTTATACACCAATTGTTTACTTCGTGCATTCGCGCTTTAGTGACGTCACAAACGTGGGATATTTTAGAAGACTTTTCGATTCTAAACAAAAACACTGGTTTTGGAAAGATCTCTGCGATTACTTTATTCTAGTAGTTTTAAGTACCAGCAGCTTAATTTTAAAAAAAAATGTGCTCCAACCTACACACCATTATTAGTCATGCCATGACTAGTTAGAGTGAGCGGTGTAAATAGACCATAGTACGTATTATAGGCGGTGCCTACTGTGTACACTTAATAATTCTTTCGATCTTTTTTGTGCTGATATCTTGGTCAATTGGTTACAGGGTTCCCACGAGTAGTTGACCACGCGGTGCATACTGTGACCGATACACAGAATCCTTTCATCTCCATTTATCAATTTTGACTGGTTCTTGTATGCACACTATAGCTACACGCATGTGGAATCCACTGGATAATGTATTTCAAACTCAATCGACCGGTCTGTGCGCGTTACATCAACTTTAGGTACAACATCCACACTTAGCGACTGCATTAAAAATCATTCATTTATTTCTGCCAATCACAGTGTGTTAGGTTTCATCGGTGTGATTGGCTCAGTGTGACTCCGTTCTGGAGTGGTCTGTTACAATTCGATGCCGTATTACATTTGGAGTGCTGCATACTTTATCACTTTTGAATATGCTTCGTGTGACCCAGGCCAAAAAAATAAAAGCGACGATGCCGGTCACCTGTGGATATATCCCTCGCCTATTATACTCAGTTATCATCCCGCCCATCGGCGTGTTCTTCCAGGTTGGCTGCAATAAGAACCTGGTCGTCAACTGCTTGCTCACGGTTCTCGGCTATGTACCTGCGATTACCGCCTGCCGCTTTAGACACACATCTAACTGTACGCTTGTGACAACAGCTATATCCCTGGTGTCATCCACGCTATCTACATTTTGATCGAGGAATAGAGTGGCGCCACGGTAAAGTGGCGCTGAGATCTTTGTCGACTTTAAAGCAGCATCATCGGCGTTGATACCAGAAAAAATGTGTGGAGCAACTCGTACCTTCTCTCTCGTACAGTGGGGCGTGTAGTGACTTGCAACAGCTTCATTATTGTGTGTCGCTACGGTTGAGACACTTTTCACATTGAAGAGGAGTGAAACACTTTCGAACAATGAAAATTGTGTTTCCGTCATAGCGACCGATTCTGAAGTCTCAGATGTAGGTCGTGCAGGTACATCATTGAAGAGGAGGGTGGGGAA